AGCCTTTTTGAAGCCACTACCAGGTATCTAGCTCCAGACCTTCTCTTATCTTTAGTTGGATTTATTGTGTTAGCATGAAAGTCTTTTTTTTTTTGAATAATGGAAATTGCTGTAATTATAATCACTTTAGAACAACAGAAAGCAAAATGTTACTGTCACTGCACATAGGGCGTGGAAGTGGAGAAATGAAGACATCAGCTGTTGGATCTGGGCAGGCGTGGGCTGATATCCGCACTCAGGCAATGTCCAAGCATGGTGGTCTTGGACAATTACTCAGCCCCTCCAAGTCTCAGTTGCCCCATCTGAAATCTAAGTAATGATGGTGTGTACTTCACAGGACATTGTGAGGATGGGATGAGGTGAGCTGAACAAAACGGTGCCCAGCATGGTGGGCACTTAGCATGGCGCCCAGCACCCAGTGAGCTGGAAATAAACAATGCTGGCAGTTCATAGCATGGATAACTATTTCTCAGGCTCTGCCCCTCTGTGCCCTTTTGAGCTGCCTCCCTGCCTTGCCTTTTAGAGCCCTCTGTGATGGAATCCTGGGTGAATTCTTTCTCTAAGGCCAAGAGCCTCCACATTCCACTCGAAGGAGCTAGTGTCAGACTTACTTCGCCTTTTCTGCTCTTTCAACATCTTCCTTTTCCACTGTCCTTAATACTTCACACCATCTCAGTCTGTTCCATCAGATTTCCTTTTGCAGGCATGGTTTTCCCTTTTCTGGCCTCACCTGCAGTCAACTTAATGTAATTTGGGGACCTTAGATGGCTCATTTTGAAAAATAAAAACTCCAAAAGGTATTTACTTAATACCTATTTTCAACCCCAAATCTCCCAAATAATTGTGCACCAAGAGGTGATGATCAAGTAAATGTGCCATGAGTAAAATGTGATTCGCCAAATAATTGGTTAGCTCTTTACAGTGAAATGCTTAAATATGAATAGTTTCACTGTCTGTTTTATACATATTAGTGGAGATGACAGAAAATCTTTCACCAGAAACCCCAAAAGCCTTTTTGAAGCCACTACCAGGTATCTAGCTCCAGACCTTCTCTTATCTTTAGTTGGATTTATTGTGTTAGCATGAAAGTCTTTTTTTTTTTGAATAATGGAAATTGCTGTAATTATAATCACTTTAGAACACCGTTATTATTATTAATAAGACCAAATTGCATGGTTCAAGCAGACGCTGGTTCTCCACTGTTAGAAAGACATCGCATAATGGGATCAGTGCACAAACCCGGTGCTCATCTCCATGCCAACGGGGTCCTCTCTGTCACTGCTGGTGCACAGGTGCAGCTCTCGGCTTCTGGACTGATATCTGTGACTCTGCACAAAGTCATAGGGCCGAACAGTGGACCTCCAGTTCTCGATTAAAGCATGGTGGGGGGTAGGTCCCAGCAGGTGGTGTGGTGGTTAAGGCACTAAATTCCCACACACTCTGACCGTGGCTCCAGCTCCAGACATGGAAGCTTGAAAAATCACTCCAGGTGCGTGTGTATGCATGCACAAAATCCCAAGAGGAAAATAGAGATTGCAGTGTGGCCACCCCTCTGGGGGGGTGGGGGTGGGGGGTGAGTGCTTACTTTTCCTCTCTCTGTTTCTCTCTAGTAAGTGAACATGCCCTAAGGTAAAACCTAAAAAAAAAAAAAGCATCAGGGAATAAGTCCACTTCCAATAGCTGCCTTTCCCAATGGAGGGCAGGGATTCGTAGGGCTCTAGTTCTTGTGGAACCTACTCTCTTGTTCTCTGCCATGCATACCTGGACCCAACTATTCACTACGCACTTCCCTAAAGGAAAGAGGAGATGGAGGCCAGGTGGGAAGTAGGAAAGAGTACAGTGTCTGTCATATACTAACGCCATGGGTTGTAAGGTTGAGGGATCTATGACCAGAAAGGGTAGCTTGAACCCAAAACCAAAGAAAAGAAATAAGGAGACCTAGAGGCAGAAAGCAAGGATCTGCCCAGTTGTTCAGCCCTTGGATTCTGGAGTCTAGCTCCCCAGGTTCAGTTCCTGCACTCCCTCTTTCCTGCCTTGTGCCTTGGCAAGCATGCAACTTCTCTGAATTTCAGTTACCATCTCCCAAATCAGTATAAAAACCATGGGGGAGGGGTGACCAGCAGTTGTTGTAATAGCAATGTCACTGGACTCCCATGTAGTGGACCACAGTTCGAGTCCTGGACCTGGTGGCTTAAACTCACGTGGGACACATGTGCATGTGGCCCAAGATCCCGAGAGGAGAGTAGAGGCGAAAGGATTGCAGCATGGCCATCCCCTCCGGGGGGGGGGGGTGATTTCTCACTTTCTGTCTCTCTGTCTTTCTGAAGAGCACAGGCACCCTATAGCAAAAACCTCTCCAAAACAACAACAAACCACCATGGGGGGGGGGGCACCCCGAGACTGGCGAA